GCCTTTGACTCAACTAACTGACATTATTGTCAATAGGCACTTCAATTCAATTCTTGCAAACAGTTGGCTAAAGTTAGCTTGTTCAATCCCAAGCATCCTCTTTATTCGCAACTCTCTCCTTTCACCTCTTCGGATAAAACCATGAGAGATTTCATAAGAATTTATGCTCGTACAACAGAATAGAAAAATTCGACCATACCATATTTAGCAGGGGTTTTGTGTGAAGAGAGAGAGTCAGATGTCGGAAAGAACTTATAAATTCCATTATGGGTAAATTTTATTTTGATAGAGTCTCACAGTGTTATACAGTAATATTTACTGATGACGTTTCGAGCACAATTTAGTGCCCATAATCATATCAAGGTAATCACATGACTTCCTAAATTCATTTATATAGTTCCATTGTTTTTCACTTGATTTTCACTTGATTTGATTGGTAGTATTATTTTCCATATTTCAGGTATGAGTGATGATTCATTCCTATTGCATGTATTGGGTGTAGATTTGATGAACAAGGATTCAGTAATCAACCTCTCTCGCTCTCCACCTACCTAGATTACTTTTTAGAATTTTAACCCTCTCACACCCTATTGTGTGGTTGTGTGTTAATGCATGCATTGCAATTGCCGAGCATTTTTCTAAATTACTCATCTTCTCTGGGTCAACCATTCTTACCTTAGCTATATTCTTATATTCCGACAATCTGACTATCCCGGACCTACTAGTTTGACCTATGTAGTTGACCTCACAGTCATTGCAGGGTATTTTGTAAATTATATTATTTTGTCTAATTGGATCCACTGGGTCCTTTAACCTACAGAGCTTGTCCCTGAGTGAGTTTGTAGGTTTAAATGCCACCCTAATTCCTGCTTTATTTAGAATCCTACGTAGGGTCTCAGATGTCCCCTCTTTATATGGTATAACTGTAGATGACTTATATTCTCTATCAAAATAAAATTTACCCATAATGGAATTACACTCTACCACATTGCCCAAGTTTTATTCTTATATCAAGAACTTATAAACTTTTCAAATCAGTAATCTGAACTGCAAAGTATAAGCAAAGATTATTATTATTATCATATGCATTATCTATGATACTATCTATTTATAATTCATTACTTTTCCACCAACACTCTGTGTATAGTGGTTTCATTATTTAATATTTTAATTACTATTTTAAATTTTATGTACATAGTTATAAAAGGAGATAAATTGTTGCAATATGTATAAAAACGCTTAAAATTCCTTTCTGTATAATTACTATTGTTCAGAATGAAGTAATTATTATTCTATCTGCATAGACAATTTTAAAAGCACTCAGCAAGGAAATGAATCGCTTAGGAAGACCACTCCCTAACATCTTTGAAACCAATTGTCTGATATGCGCTTTTAGATACCTGCCTTGGATTTAGGAACTCTGAATAAAGACGTTTACTTCGGTGATATTTGTGTACTACACAAAGAATATGCCACCTGGGTAATTTAAGTACTACTTAATCGTACGTTGCCAAGTAAGTAAAACAATAAAGCCAGAAAGAGTTTCTGTAGAACAAAGTAGAAATATCTTCTGATTCTATCAAGATCCTCCGGGTGGTAAGAATATTATTATTATTGTTTCCTTTAATTCTTAGAGGAACATAGGGCTTCAGCCGTGCGTCTCCATTGCGTTCCGTTCTCTGCTAGAGTCTTCACCTGGCTCCAAGTCTGCCCACACGCTTTCATCTCCTCTTCACATGACCTCCTCCAAGTCACCCCTCGCACTGACGACCAACTCGCCGCTTCCCATTCTGTCGGGTTCCACTCGAGCAATGGCTTGTCTAGTGATGTCACTTGATGGTTTCCTCAGAGTATGGCCAGCAATCCATCTCCATTTCTTCCTGCCTATTTGTTTCACAATCGGTTCCTGCTGGGTTGGTTCGCTCATTGCCAGAGATCTCTGTTACTGATCTTTTCTGGCCGGCCATCTGATCTTGAGTATTGAGCGAAGACAACTGTTAATGAAGGTCTGTAGTTTGTTTGAGATGCTCTTTATGACGCGCAGTGCAAGTCTCTGATCCGTATAGTGAGTAGCACTGACTTCACATTGGAGTTGAAAATCCGGATCTTATTTTTGATGCTGAGTGCTGTTGACCTCCACACAGACTTGAGAGTAGTGAAAGCTTGTCTTGCATTTCCGATTCTTGCTTTGATATCCTCGTCAGTTCCGCCTGTAGTTGAAACGATGCTTCCCAGGTCGGTAGGTAAAAGAGGTTGTTTCTTTCAGGTTCCTCCCATTTTATTCTGATTGTTGTCTGTTATTGTTGTTGCTGTTGTTGTTGTTTCCCAGGAATCTTCATCACCTCTGTTTTATCTATGTTCACCTGAAGTCCTTCCTATCTTTGATGCTTCTTCTGCTAACTTGTTGCTTTTCATTTGCATGTCTTCCAGTTTGTGGGAAATCAGACATATATCATCGGCGAAGTCCAGGTCCTCCAAGTTTTTGTGTGTCCATTTTATGCCTGTTTCCTCATTGCCCACTGTTTGTCGCATTATCCAGTCTACTGCAATCAAGAAAATCATTGGTGATAGTAGGCAGCCTTGTCTTACTCCTGTCCTCACTTCGGAGGGTTCCGTAAGTTTCCCATTGTGGATTACTTGGCATGCAGCATTGTCGTATAGCTGTTGGATGAGATGTATAATTGTCGGTGGCACCCGATAATAGCGAAGTAGTTACCAAAGCACCTCTCTGTTGACGCTGTCTGCTTTAGGCCTTTTCAAAGTCGATGAAGTTGAGATAGAGAGGTGACTGCCATTCCAAGCTTTGTTCAATGATGATCCGTAATGTGGCGATCTGATCAATACATGACTTGTTTCTCCTGAATCCAGCGTGTTCCGGTCGAAGTTTTTCATCCAGGGCATGTTTGATGATGCGGCTTAGTATTTTGCTTGGGATGGACAGGAGTATAATTCCGCGCCAGTTCTTGCATTGAAACTGATTTTACAAATAGGTCAGTCAAATTACTCTATTCCGTCTTCTCTCCTTTTAGAAGAATGAATTGCTACGGGATTTTGCTACCTGCCATAGCCGTTTGCACATATACCCACAACTTTACATGTTTTATCTGTAGAATTCGTTGTGTTGTGTTAGATACGACACTAAGAAAAGCAGTTTCCTATTCTATAAAACAATACAATGGATGTTTTCTATTTAGAAAAGAATAAGAATGCCGCACTCCCATAAATTATTTTTAAATAATTAGCATTTAAATCAGTCACAATAATAGAACATCTTGTGCATACTGAAGATTCTATCTCGATAACCTCATTCCCTTCAGTTTATCGAAAAGGTGAAAAGCAACCCGTCAAAAATCATTGTGTCTACCTCATCTGTACTGCTGGAGTTAAGGCTACTGAAATAGGGAAGCTGGGGCTTTATATACAGAAAAAAAATTTATTCAACCCTTTCGCCTTCAGTGATTTTAATCCGTTAATTTAAGAAATTTAAACTAAACAAAATGAGAATTCTCTCCACTTTTGTTGTCCAACGTGATGCTAAAATAACATAACCTCTTTCTCAAAGTGATCAGTAGAAAACTTGCCTTCAGAATGGTTCTAGTAGGTCCGCTAACCACTGGACAATGTGATGATATGGTTAATTCGTTATGCTGAGAGTAAGTCGAGGAGGTGTGTCTTTCTTGTGTAATTTCAGCACTGCATAGAGCTAAATAGTCTCAGGGATTCACATATTTGTGTGCGTCGGTGGCATAGCGGTTAGGACGCTCGCTGACCATGCACAAGGTCCTTTACCTCGCTAAGCCAGAAATAATGCTGGTGAAGAGGAAAGGTTGGCATGAGGCTAGCACCCCATTCTGTAAAAATAAACACTGCTACAGAAACTTCAAGCTTAGCTTGAAGCCCTTGTCCATGGGGAACGTGAAGGAAAAAAATAGAGCCAAATAGTCTCAGGGATTCGGATATTTTGGAGTAAATGAGTAATTCAATCTTCAGTTCCCAGAGGATGTTCGTTAGTTTTTGTTCGATCTGATTCCTCATATTCTTTTCACTGACCAGTTTTACAAATTTGAGTTCGTCAGATATGATGGTTGGCATTTTACTGATAAAGTCCTCGTGATTCATGTGTACGATTCCCCCACATTTATTGGGGAGTATCAGCATAATCTCTTTATTGTTGATCAATCCCCAATACCGAAGACTCAGTCATTCATCTATGCCGAAATATTCGAATTCTTGAAACGTGAACAGAATTTATCTTGACTCTATAGATTGCCGAAATTCCACCTATTATCAACTTGACAAATTCACCTTATCATCGCATTGCCCAGTGGTTAGTATACCTACTAGAATTAGGTATTTTGTCTTTTTACGCAAGTTTTCATTAATAACTGTTTTTATTAACACTCCTTAATAATCTTGACAACTTCATGTTCTTTCTCTGTGTTACGTAAAAGTTGCAAGCTCCAAGCTAGGAGGACTATAGCTCGAGATTTACAGTACACTTCCTTTCTTATACAGTTAATTTCTCCTGGTAGTGAATGACACTCACAAATCATACCAAATAAATAAAGATTATGAGGGCATACAAAAGGGTGAACCATTATACATGACAAATACTGAGAAACAATTAGAAATCATCCTTTTTTTGATAGTGTTCACTTTATAATGGTTATAATTATTCCTATATGTGTGTTTATTGTAAATAAGCAGAAACTAGAAGGACATCAATGAACATTATATTAAGAAAGCCGTATTTGCCATCTAGTGCTTCGGCGGCGCAGCGGTTAGGATGCCCGTCGATGATGCACATGGTCCGGGGTTCGATCCGTGGCCACTGACGTACTCCTCTACCTCACTAAGCCTGTAGTAAGACTGGTAAAGAGGGAAGGTCTGGCATGAGGCTAACAACCCCATCCTGTAAAAAAATAATCACCACTGCTACCGAAACTTCAAGCCTCTAGCTTGAAGCCACCCTATGTTTCCCCGGGAATATTTGGATTATTTTATTTATTTATACTCAAATAATGAATTATACGAAACATAACTTCTGTAGGTAACTGGCCAAATGACTTTGGAGCTGCTTGCAGGGCTTCCCATTGTTGTCGTAAAAATGTCTGTCGTAGGCGGGATCGAAGTGGATAGCTATGACTTTCACTCTCTGGACTTTGAATATTATTTACACAGTGAGGCACAGGACTATCGCAGATACTGTTGTGACGATTACCACAATTTTTATCACAAGTAGTAGACATCTCCGAAGAAGCAGGGGAAAAGGAAGGAACATTTTCTGAGAACACTTCTTCACATTTTTTAACCACTTGATGTTGATTCGAGAGAAAGTTGTTGCTGCTGTCACCAGCTGCACTGAATACTGAAGGTGGTTCGGACTTTATAACAACACCGTTATGTTGAGATTCCCGAGAGAAATCGACCAATTTTATAGCTGGATGAAAATCATGTTGTGAAAGTTGATCTGTTGAACTACAAAGAACCGGTTTCACCTCATCCTCATCACAGTTTCGATTGGTGCATCTGTGAGAGCAGCAAGAATGACAGGTTGCTAACATCATATCATCATTGCTAGAAAAGTCATGGTAATTATTTGCACTAGTGAAAGCTGACGATTTTCGAAAGCAAGATGCACTTTGATGACAGTCAGCAGTTCCAGGCAACGTTTGGTTAGAAAGAATTTCAAGTGGAGAACTGCACTTAACCAGTGCAACAAAGCAATTTGATGTTGACGATTCTAGAAATTCATTTGGTTTGTTTGTATTAGAGCTTCGTGTTGACAAATTCCCGGACTTTTCAGAATTGCATTCAGTTAATTTAGGTGATATGGAATCCAAAACAGAAGCTTTGGCTGAATTAGAATACTTACTTTCCTGTGATTCAGACTCAACAAGTTCCAATGGCTGACTGCATGAAGTACCAACCAAGCTAGATTTACCTGTTCTATTTCTACAAGGACTATGATGAAGTGAAGAATTTGCCTGATGTATATTTGAGTCTTGACCCTCATTTTCATACTCTCCCTCAGAGCTGCCAGCCTCATCTGTTGCAACCGCAATTGGAGTTAAAAGCATCCTCTCACTTTGCATTAAGATCCCGTCCATATTAACATGGGAATCTGAATCTCGCATTGTGCTTGAATGAGAATTCAACAATCTATTCCCAACGGATGAATTTTCGTGATTTAACGATTCGTGATCAGTTGTGGATGTAGGTTCAACGGCCAAATTTAATTCCGGTTGGACAAGCTTTTCGGAGAACATGCTTGATGCAAATGAATTCTCATCTTCAGCTGCATCAGGACGATCAACAGGAATATCTTTCTGGCTAACATAATTACTCAGGCCAATGTCAGAATTATGGAACAGCATATTTGCTGAATCCAAATAAATAAATAATATTTACCATCAATTCATAATGTCCAGTTTAGTTAACAAGAGGTGCTTTATAAAAGAAAAAGAATTAACAGGGGATATGCAGTAACAACAGCATAAGAATGTTTGTCACAGATCTTGTGTTTGTTGATATTCATTAGAAAAATTTGTCTCTAAACTTCAGTGAATTCATGCTAATCTAACATAAATCAACACCCCAAAGTGGAAAGAAAATGTATCTATCGGTAGAACATTCTATTAAAAATTCAACAGGTGTTTTCGAATTCTTACACTTCTATTTTAAGCGTTTTACTTTGAGAAATTATGTAAAGAGAATCTGTGCATATTTAAATTCTACAAACAACTGTGAATGCATAAGAATTGTAAATAATTACACAATCAAAACATGTATCAAGGATTTATTTCTTACCCTATAGTTGTTGGAAGTCTAGATAAATTGTTTACATCTAAATTGAGTACTTGTAATTGATTCAGCTGGCCAATTGTCAAAGGAATTGATGCAATCTGATTACACTCCAATTCAAGATGAACTAAATTAACCAGTTCACTGATTCTGTTGGGTAATGCCTGATAGACAGAATGAAAACATAAGCGCATTTAAAAATAAGTTGAAGTATTAAAGTAACACCAAGTAATAAACCTTTGTGATTATTATGCAAAACACGTAGGTTTTCTACAATTACTTAGAAATTGGATTCGAAGGTCAGAGACTAAAGTCTACGCATTTAAATATTGGAATCAATCTATATTACTCAATAAAGGAGGATATATTGTAATAAACACCGTCAAATTTACAGTGACAAACGTTTTGAGTACTGGTTTGTAGGGATTTGATTGATTGGTTACAGGATTTCATCATGAGCTGACATTGGTGAGAGAACCACTGGAAAACCTGGAAGTACTGAAAATCTGTTTCGTCCTAGTTTGGGACTCTTAATCGCTACACGCGCACCGCCAGGGTTCGAACCCAGGACCTTCTGGCTACAAGGCGAGCTCATAGACAATTAAGCCACTGGAACCCTAACCAATACCCAGTGCATGAATTCTAACTTCTGCCAATCCACGACACAGGGCGACTGCTATGGACCACTGGATCGGATCCCAGTGGCTTAATGGTCTACGAGCTCGCTGACCTTGTAATCAGAAGGTCCTGGGTTGGAACCCCGATGGGTGCGTGCTACTAAAGAGTGCCAAACTAGGACGAAGCAGCTTCTCAGTACTTCTAGGTTTTCCAATGGTTCTGTAACCAATATCAGCTCATGATGAAATCCTGACACCAAAAAGATAATTTTTACACCTTAAATTTTTACCTTCAACAGCCTATTGGATCTAAGGTTATATATACTTCGATTGGTGAATGGTGTGATCAGCTTTCATGTACATATCATGCAACTAAACATAAATTATGGCATAAAATCTTACCGAAACCGTAACTAGAACAAAAGAGAAAAGTGAAATCAAGTGACAATAGATCTGATCATTTGAGTCTGTCTTATTCAGAAACATGACTGTCAAAATTTCAATGATAATAATAATAATCGTCATTGATATGCTTTATTTCAAAACAGAATTCTCAACAATCGGTACAATACTGCATCTAATTTACTGAACAACAACAAAAACACCATATTGTATAAGTAACCAAAATTGATAGTAGCACCTTTTTAGCATTACCAGTAAATTCAGAAAGTGTACAAAAGGAATAAATTGATAACGGTAATATTAATAACTGAAATTTAAAGATAATAGAAATAGAGTCCAAATGAATTACAGAGTAGGAGATCACAGAGCCATTTATTTTCTTAACTACATAGTAAGTCATTATTTAGATGCCTAACTCTTTCTTTATCACATAGAATGCCGGTCAATTAGGGTGTCACTGAGGTTTTTCCCTTACTTCTGCAAGCATATACTCATTCATAATGACTCCCGGTCCGACTCGATGAGATATAAGGGGAGAGTTGTGAATAAAGAAAGTGCTGAGAGTCAGATAATAGGGATTTTACCCATTTCCTACATGAGTTCAGGTGTCTGTCGACTGCAACCGTAATGACCTGACTTAGTGATGCTTCACTAACAACCTTTGATACCCTTCTCAATGTACGTCGGTGGCACATGGTCCGGGGTTCGCCCCTCTGCCGACGCACACCTGATATCTATGGTCGGCCTACAAAATTTGGGCTACCGATATCACATGCTGTAAATTCCATAACTGTACCAAAAATTACGGTGTGGAATCAAGCTGTAATCAAAAACAAATAAAAATTAAGATATGGCCCTTTTTGAGTAACCCAGGAAAGGCCAGGAAAGTGAGAGATAAAGAACAGTCGGTAAGATCTAAGAGTTAAAAAAACTGTAAAAGTACAGGCTGAGTGATTCCTGATTGTCTTGAATTCTCAATGTAGAAGGTTAGACGGAACATTTTCTTAGAAATCGACAACAAGATATGCAATGACCAAGAAAGGTCAGAGGGAAAAACAATTCACAGGTATTTTGATGCCTGATTTAGTTTCTGTTTCATTGCTCCCTTCGCTACAAATATCTTGTGAATGAAAAAATTCATGTAGATCATGTTTATGCTTGAAGGTAGAGTTAACTGTCTGACATTTGGAGGGATTTAACGTAAGACATTCACTAAAACCAAAAAGAACCTCCTTATTTTACTCACAAGAAAGCTGAATAAGCATAAAGAGATAGCAGTACAGCTGCTAAAGAATTTAACCTTGACTATAGTTTATTCATAGACTGGAAAGGTAACTGATGAAAGGCTGATTTAGGTTTTTGAGTAATTCGGGTTTAATTCCACCTTAAGTTACTATTTCCGCACTGGCACTAGCTAGCTACTCTCTTCCTAATAAAAATGTGTAGGCTTATGCGCTTAGATGACTTAACTTTCAATGAAATCATATATTCTCATCTATTTTCGAACGTTGAAGGTTTTGGCCGAATTGAGACCTCACTCTACAACAATCATAACAGTATTGAAGTATTGAAAAGACATAACACTGCTTGAGAAAATTGAAACATTCGCTACTGTTATTCTTAAGTTTCATATTTCATCTTTCAAACTAACCAAAAATAAAACGTAACTTTTATCGCATGAAAGAATTTATCAGAATAAAGATTTCAGTGTATCACGTCATCTGAGAAACAACTCACTCAACCCCCCCCCCCCCCGTAGTGAGCATGTTAGGTGAATTTTGAGCTCCTGAAATTTAATATTATAATCTGTATTGGTACATTAATAAGGTTTTTTTATATACTAAGTTGTTTTATGCTTTACTTAGTGTAAAAAGGGTCACTTTAAACTAAACGATACTTTTAATCCATATGGCGTGTGCTACTAACAATAATCTATAAATAGTATATTAATGACATTTTCAGCTAGAATTTTGATTTGCGGAGGAATGGATAAAGTTGAGAAAATAAAAGGAAAAACAAATATCACTGTGAAACGACGTAGAAAGCATAAAATCAAGGAAAAAATAAAGAATAAAAATTCAGTTAACTCTCATAAACTGAAGTTGCAATGTAGACTTTCTATATTTTGCCATAACTAAATATCAACAATCAGCATAAATGGAAGGAACCTGAAAGAAACAACCTCCTTTACCTACCTCAGAAGCATCGTTTCAACTACAGGCGGACAGAACTGACGAGAATATCAAAGCTAGGATCAGAGAAGCAAGACAAGCTTTCACTACTCTCAAGTCTGTGTGGAGGTCAACAGCACTCCTCAGCATCAAAAATAAGATCGGGATTTTCAGTTCCAATGTGAAGTCAGTGCTGTTTGCTTTACGGATCAGAGACTTGCACTGCGCGTCATAAAGAGCATCTCAAACAAACTACAGACCTTCATTAACAGTTGTCTTCGCTCAACACTCAAGACGGGATGGCCAGAAAAGATCAGCAACAGAGATCTCCGGGAGTAAACCAATCAGGAACCGATCGTGAAACAAATGGGCAGGAAGAAATGGAGATGGATTGGCTGTTCATACTCTGAGGAAACCATCAAGTAACATCACTAGACAAGCCATTGCTCGAGTGGAACCCGAAAGGGGAGTGGCGAGTTGGTTGTCAGTGTGAGGGTGACTTGGAGGAGGTCATGTGAGGAGGAGATGAAAGCGTGTGGACAGGCTTGGAGCCAGGTGAAGACTCTAGCAGAGAACCGAACGCAATGGAGACGAGTGGCTGAAGCCCTATGTTCCTCTAGGAATTAAAGGAAACAACAATAATAATAAATATCATTTTACCAATGTGAACAATCCTGATACCAAGTATCACTGCTTCCTTGAAGAATAAAGTTGTCGTCTTTGAAGAGAAGACGTGTAAATATTTCCGGAAGGCTTCGAAGCAGTAGCAGAAGGTGAAACTAGTTGTGTTGAAAGCCCGGTTGTTGAGGGATGGAGAGAAAAATACTGTTTACAACAGTTCATGTGGAACTGGCTCAGAGACTTTGTGAGATAAGATTTTTGAGTGTCTAGCTTCAAAGTGAAAAAGACAGATAGACAGAAGGCGTTGCAGAAAGGATCATCAATATACTACTGACAAATTCTTGTCATATTGCTCAGAAGAATGGCCCATAAACATACCAAATATGAACTTTGAGTTTTCACCAAATAGTAGGTAATCAGCAGAATAATTAAGTTGATTAATGTATCACTTAATCGATAAGAGAAAGTCATCATTTTTGGAGCAAAACTGTATGCACACCTGTTGAACTGTTGGCATTCCGAGGACTTCAGCTGGGTGGATTACATATCCAAGTGTGGCCCACACCTACTTCAAAGACTAGATGGGAAGATACCAGGTTTTGGTTTCGCCGCCCCCTAACTCTCTTCCAACCTAATCTTATGTAGGCTAAGATTGTTTGTTGAGAAGGGTGATGGGTTGGAATGAGTGTAACGTGTCCTAGCCACCTCATCAACTGATTTGCCCTACTCGCTTAAAATTCCACTCTCAATCTCAATATCACT